AGCCCGGAATATGCTGGAAGTCACCTCGCTGACCCGGGGGAGCGTACCGTGATATTGCTCGTTACAGCGAGCAGCTGCACCCGGTTTAAAGTTATTGCAGGGCTTTGTACGGTGCTGGCTGTTACATTCCTTAAGTCTCGTCAGAGACTTAAGGAATATAACCCCCGCTGGTCAAATGAAACCATATGTGTGGCCTGGAGCGCTGAGGATGAGACCTGTGCATGGTCACCCTCGATCGGCGCCTCGCTGGGAGTCGTGCTTGGCACCGGAGCTTGCTGGCTAATGGCCACCTGGCAGCACACAGGAAATGGTTCTGCAGGGTCAGCCACCGTACCCATCCCACTCTTCCCAGTCTGACGTGTTCATCCGCTGGCTGTCTCAGCACAGAACCCAGGCACTGAATCCGGGCAACCTTCTCATTCGGGGAGGGAGATGCTCTCTTCAGATCCAAGATGGAGAGAGACATGGACACCTGGGTGGGAAATACATACACACGCACATACGCGCCGAGAAAGAGCTGCTTTGTGAGTGGACTCACAGAGAAAGCTTTCCTGTATTCCAAGGACTAAAATTACTGTGACTACTTCTTGAAAATTGCTTAGAAGCAGCCATTAAATAGCAACTATTTTGCCCCAAAGATGTGATTTTTAATTAATTTCTGAAAAGGGAAATTGCAATTGGATAAATCAAAATTAGCAGTGCAAAAGCGTGGGTTTTCATGCGGTAAGGACACCACGCTACGGCATTTATTCGGGAAAATCTCTTATGCTCCTGGGGATGTTTCAGCTGAGTAATGCTGGCTGGGTAGGGCTGTAACTGCCCAAGATCTTTCCTTTATAATACATTTTGTAAAATCACAGTGAAACATCTTGCCAGATAATTCATCAGAAATGCTATAGACTGCAATAAAGTGGGAGTTCTGGGCAATTAACCAGTTACATCAATGTCAGGGGTGATAAATCATGACTAAGAACCCTGAGATAAAACCTTAGTGAAGCATTATTTTTAGTCAGTGGGGGGTATGAGGGCATACCTAAAATATATGAAACAAAAGTAGACCAGAACCATAATAAAACTAAAGTTCACCTCTTAAAACATTCCTCCATGCGTCCATGTTACTGTCATCATACCCGTACAAGCAAGTGAAACACATCACAAGAAACAGAGGTATTCCCCAAGGAGCTTGCAATGGAAGTATGTTACTACCTTTTAAAAGTTTCTATAACAACAAAGCTGATGTTTTACTTTTATATGGAAACCACCCACTTTCTGAACAGAACAATCTGTAAAGTAATTATGGTCTGGTCGTGCAGTTCGCTGGCCCATATCTACAGTTACAATCACCAGCAAGAGCATCTTTGGAATTCCTGCTGTATGAGAGGGCCAGGACCATGTCCAGAGCACAGGCTGACAGAAGATGACGACAGCGCTCGGCCATTAAAGGCTTAAACTGGTGCCTGAAACCTGCTTTGACAGTAGCAGCACACAGCAGAAGTGCAGCGCTGAGTATATTGAGTTCTGGTTCTGGCTGTTTCATACATTCTGCTTTATTTCTACAGCTTTGCACCGCCCTCATGCCACCTACTTCATGAAGGTTACTTCTCCTTATTTAAACATGTAAGAGAGATATTCTATGTGCAAACACGCACACACTCAGAAGAAGGAAACGGCAAGTTCTAGGGACATTGTTAACAGTAAGACTTGAAATTAAACAGAGTTTCTATAAAACAGGTTCCAGTCTTTTTCCCTTCTTTGGAGGGAGCAGGGAGACTGAAGCTCTGCTTTCATCAAATTGTTCAAATACCTGAATGTGCATACACACACAGAAAAATTCCCAGAACACAGAGATTCTCCAGCATTACATAGTAACACAGAACCAAGGAGAAGACTCCTGGGACATCCAGTTTTCTCCCTTGTGCCTGGAGATAACCACATCCTACATGTTAGTGGGGTCTCTGTAACACTATAGAGAAACAAGTTGAACATCATTTTGAAATGAGCTGAGCCAATTTGTTCCCTGGTCTCACTAAAAGACTGTCCCAGGGGCACTTTGGCCTGTCTCAACTGCCCTTGACTGTCCCAGCTGCCTTTGCTGTTGGGAACTCGTTCAGTTTTCAGCCTGAATTTTGCACCTATACCCATTTGCTCACATGCCAGCACTGCATTGCCCTTTGACTCAAATATTTTCTTTTTTAACTCCAGAATGTTTACCTCCAAGGTACTTATAGTCAGCAATAGTATCCCAAGGCAGGCATCATATTTGCCCTTTGATAGACTAAACACATTCTTTTTGTCTTCTCTTGTGAGATAGTCCACATAGTGTCGGAACACGCAGTTAAGGTCATTTAAATAGCCTTGGGTCAGATCCTCTGTGGGGTAGACTGGGGTTGATCCAGCTCTGGATTTACACTGCAGGTTTTTGAGCCTGCACAGAGCAGCCACCATCTGCAATACAACTTGGAGACGTGGCTGGAGAACGAGCTGACCTGACTCTCCCTCTAGCCAGGCCAACTCACCACTGCCAGCAGCCTTGCTAATGAAGGCCTTTGTGCAATTAAAACACAAAGCAGCAGTACTGAAGTCCTGAGGGTGAGAAAATTGTTGGGTTTTTCACTGCCCCTGTGAAATGTATTTGAGAGGAGAACACTGTAACAAGGCCTCCAGCATCCCATAAACCCTGAGTTGCGCCACGAGGAGAAAAGGGACCATGCTGTTGCTCTTCAGTTTCCCAGATACGAAGGTGGCAGTTTCTGTAGTGACCCAGCATCTCCAAATGTTAGCAGTACTGAGCCTGGTTATTTTTGCTTTATGCAGAGAAGTGCAGTCTGTAAGCATATGCATATTTAAATTGAACTAGGCTTATGAGAAAACTATGCTAATCTCCGTTTCCCAGTAACTGATAGATACTTTTAAACTCTCCTGGAATTGTGAATTTTGATAGGGATTAACTGCTGTTGTGAGACATGGGAATGGAGCTTATGAAATTGATGTTTGTCAGGAGGAAGTACAAGGGTGAAATACACATTTCCCTTTTCTAAAACTCGATTGATGGCAGCTGTTTAGAAGACAGGTAAAATGAAACAGGATGCTTTGCAATTTGCAGTTTTCTAACCAGAATCTGGCAATCTTGAAGATGAGCTTTCTGATATAGGAGTTGTCAACAGAAAATAAGCGTATAAAAAGTAATTTATTGCAGATTACTATAAATGACTGCAGACTTGAACTCCTTCTACTGAATGGACAAATTATACACTCCCACAGATAGTGGCAGGAAAACGCCAGAAGGTCTTGAAATCACAAGATTACTCTTGTGGATGATGTTACGTCCAGAGATGTCAGAGCCAGAGGTTTCCCTGAGCAACAAAGCAGGCCAAAGCCTAGCTGAAATCCTCTCAGAGGCTGGAGCTTTTGTGATCTTCACTGCCTACATCTCTGCCGGCAGCTACTACAGCTACAGCAGGAGGCATCAGGCTGTCGTATGCAGCAGTGGTGCTTGGAGTATGTTAGCTCCTGCTCAGCTGCTTCAGAGATCTGCCTCCCCTGATTCTCACAGATTCCTGTAAAGCCCTTGGGGAATACTCTGCTGTTATTAGATGTTTCTGTGAGGAGAGGGACAGATTATGGGCATCAGCTGATGTCTGTGGTTTTCCTTACTCTTTCATTATGAATGTAGAAGAGAAGACCAGGTCTAGCTTCTATTCGTGTTACTGCCAGTTCTGTTCTTTGTTAACATCATACCACTTTGCTTCATGTAACCCCTTGGTTTAGCTACGATTAATATTTTGCTGGGCAATACAACAATGACTTATTGGTACTGTCGAATTGTTCTGTAGTGTCTGCTGCCATGGGAAGGTAAAAAAAGCACACAGCCTTTGTATACTCAGATTTAACATGAACTATACTCAAAGAGAATTCTTTTAATTATATCAAATACGCAATGGTTACCCAGTTTGGGTTTTGTTTTCAGAGGTATCATTTCAGAATAGTATGCCCTCATTAAACAGGAATTGCTTAATTCTCAGTCCTTGACTACAGAAAATTTGACTGACAAGTCAGTTTTGGATCAAAAGCTGAGATGAGTGCTGAGAAATACTAGTGTGGGAAGGATTATATTTATACTTTCTCTGCTGTAAGTCATCATCAATGGTGCTGTTCAATGTTCATCTGTGTTTTAACAAGGTATGAATCACTTCAGTGATTCCAGTTAACGTGAAGGTGGGGAGGGAGATTAGAAAGGAGGAATTTAATGTCCTTCAACCCTGCAAAATGTTGTGGAGCTTACTCAGCTCTCTTCTTCAGTAGCCTGTTTTTCTACTAAGGGAGAATTTCCTTACAGACAAGGAAGCGGGAGACTTATTTCAATGTCAAATGCTGAAGCGAAAGACAAAACATTTGCCACTGTACAAGTAATTTGCCACTGTACAAAGACCAGGAGAAGAATGAGCAAAGGGACCATTTCAAATTAAAAAATACAATAATCTCCTTCTTTGTAAAGGGGAATTGAATGCTATCATATGGAAGCTGTTCTCAAAATAATACTTAATTTTATCAGTAGGGATTAATTTCATTTTCTAAAATGCTAGGTATGCACCTGTATCCCTCATCCACATGTGCAGTTGTCACAGCTGTGGGAGCACATTGGACATGCAGATAACAAGGAACTGAAAATTTATGTTGATTGCAACTCCAACTGTGAGCACAACGTTTTGTATTGGTTCCATGCTAGTTGTGCTCAACTGGGCACAACCGTGAAAGGCCTTCAATGTAGTAAAGCTTTTAGGATGGTGATTATTCAAGGAAACTCTTAAGTTTAAATCTTTGTCAGCAGCATGATGTGGAGATTATTTGATTACACAAATGTTTCCCATCGTGACATGCACAGGCTGAGTTATCACTGCAGTTAAGCAGCTGGGATGTGCAGCTTCCTTAGCAAATTCGGGAATTTCTTCTCCAGCACAATCTTCTTGTTCCCACCACATTTGGAGAAGGCAATTTACAGAAGTAAATAGCAGCATTTCCATTGCTGTTCAAGGTAAGGAGCAGCTGACACCGAGCTAAGCATATGGCTGAAAGCCATGCACAGAGGAAACAATCTGAGAAAAAGAAACACGAGCTTTGTTACCCAGATTGGTTACAGGTCTGTATTATATATTCTAGTGTTATATTAAATACTGTACTAAAATTAAAGCAGTATTTTACAGATTTTGTTTTTAATTTGTTTTGATACTAATTGCAAAGCCAGATCTTGTAATTGCCAGTAGACTCAGCAACGCCTATACACTAATCCTCTTACTGTGTCTTTGGCTCTTCCATTTTAAGCTACATGTTTTGTTTGTTCTTGGGGTGCTTTTTAAGAAAAAGATCTTTGTAGCCTGTAGATATTAATGCACTAGAAGATTCTCTCCCAGAACTTTGTAAATTCATCCTTGTAATTATTTCTTTTTATCTTTCATGCTCATATGGCATCTTAAGCCTTTTTTGTTTTAGAACCCTACAGCTCCTCAAGGAACAGTATTCATCACTACTGATAGAGATGGATTAATGTGGATTCATTAAGCTACAACCAACGCAGTGACTTGAATGCAATGGTTTTACATAATATATAGCCCTAAACAGCATGACTGGTGTATTTGAAGTGACCCAAGAGATTCAGACATTTTTGGTATCAGCTTTTCATGAGGTTAGTCATCTCCCATTAATTCCCTTGTAAATATCTTAAAGGGTACTGCTTGTTGTTAAAAGGCTGTACATAAAGGCCTTTCATGCAAGACCGAGGATATGTTTCTACCATACAGCAGGTTTGGCAGCAAAGTTGGCTTAGAAAGTTCATGCCCTAACTCATCTGCATTTGCCTCTTCTGCAGGGTGTGTTGCCCACTCCAGCATGCCAGTGTAACTGGAGCTGCACTGTCAGCTGGGTAATGGAAATGCTCTGTATTCAAATGAATTATGCCTTAAGAATCTTGGGTATTGCTTTAATGCAGTAAGAATCTATCACATGAATACATGTTATTTATTTGTGAATGGCATAAGCACTGAAGTGAGAATAGCATAGTGGAAGCTAAACTCTAAAGATACATGTTACTGATGGTTTATCCTAATACAGTGGCTGCATCTACAGTAATTTATTAGAAGCATAAACAAAGATGTATGTTACGCCCTCTAAAGGAGCCTTTTTATTTCTTTAACACCAAAGGTGTATCTATCTTTTTAAGAGTAAACATAGAAATCCTCCAAGGGGAATAATAAAGCCTTATACAACTGAAGTATTGGCAGGATCAACCTTGACATTAATACTAAAATAGCTCACTGTCACATCTGCAGCTCCCCAAGCAGCTCTCTCAAGAGACTTTCAGGAAATCACTGGGGAACATCTCTGAGCTGTCTTTGATGAAAAGGACCAGAAGGAGTTAAATCTAGGAGAGCAGACTTTTTTTTTTTCATTAGCTACTGCAGTGACAAGGTGCCCGTTGACTCCTAGGTGGGTGACTGTGCAAAACTGCCTTCCCATGCCGTGCCAGGGGCACTTGAGCATGCCTACCAAAGATACCTCCATTTAAAATCTCACCCCTCCCTTGCTCACTTGCTTGGCCATTTCAGCTATGACTGTGGAGTCATAGGGCTGTGCCATGCTGTTGCATTAGATTAAGAGAACTGTAGTAACACACTAGAATGATAGGAATGAGCCTGGTATTCACGGGTGAGGCTAAACAAAACTTCCAGGAAAATGAATCCACAATTTCACCAACAGATCGTATGGCTCCCCACACAGTAACCCAGGTCCCTGAAAGGCCCTGCTCCACCCTCTCAGTGCAGAAACTGGCCTGGGACCAGCACGCTGTCTAGGATGTTCAGTGCCTGTGACCCACTTATTCCACAGATCAAGATATGCCTTGTCTTTAAAGTATTCATCAGCCTCTTGAGAAGACAGGTGATGAACAAGTGAAAACCCATCAGTGGCCCCTGCGCAGCTGGGAAGTGCCATGCTTTAAAGTCAGATAAATTTTTAAGAACATTGCTTTTGCCAACAGATACCAGCAAGCTGTTTTCATAGTAGTATCATAAACTTCAGCTTCCAGCTACCTGACACATTTCTTTGCCACACCAAAGAGGTCACTGCTGCACCAGTAGTGGGTCTGGGATTCAGTGCTGCTGGGAACTGAATCTTCCAAGCATGTGTTTTCTGACAAAGGTGTTGCCTGGAGCATATGGTGAGGGCATCCATTGTGGAGTTGAAGAGGTGGAGAGAGTGAGCTGTCTTGGTACCTGTGACCGTGAGCAACAAGGCTTTGTACAAAAAACCACAGCAGTGATGTTCTCTCCATGCTGTTGGTCTATAGCAAATAAGACCTCGCCGCACAGCATTTGCAGGCAGGCTGCTGGCAGGACTCATCTGTCATGGCTTAGCACAGCTGGGCTGCATGCATTCCTGTGTGATAGACAGATATTTTGCATCCTGCCATTCTTGGCTGCCCTTTTATATTCTCTTCATATCGGATACCATGGTATACAGGAACCTGCAGTGAATTCTTCGGTGACTGGCAGAAAATCATTTACCACATCATTCCCCCACATGGTGGCATTGCTTGCGAAACGTGTCTCCTCATTCCCAGCGTGTGACGCTTTGTTTTCAGGTGCTATAGCCAGAGATCTGCTGCCCTGAGGGAGCATTTACCTTTGGGCATGCCTGCTCTTCATCACTTACTCTGAGAATGAATGTTCGTCCAAATCAGACAGACCAGGTAGCTCTCCAAAACCAGCAGCTAGGCTCAGGAACTCTCAGAGGAGCTGCGCAGGGACATGCAGAAAGCAGTGGCTAGAAGGGTTCTGCTGACTCCTCCTGTAGTCAACGGCATGGACCAGCTGTCAGAGGAAGCAGTCATACTGCTCTAGAGTCACCATGTAGTGACAGAGGCCAGGCAGGTACAAAGGCAGGCTGCTCCAGGACCAAAGTGTAGCCCCAAAGGGATGGACTGAAGGAAGCCAAGGAATTCTGGAAGCGTCTATATGAAAGTTACAATGAACAAATCTCATTGCAGTGGGGAAGTATGGATAAGTAAGGTGCATTACGGTGGATGACCTCCAGAGGAGGTCCAGAAGTCATCCTTCTCAGAGCAGGGCAAATGTCAAAGTGAGATCACATCGCCTCGTCATGCACAAAACGCAAGTAAGGCAAGACTTGACAGGCTGAACTTAGCTGGCTGAGTCATCCAGCAAGAAATTGTTTGTCAATGTGGTTGCTGTCGAATGAGTGTAATGACAGGTTGTCAAACACCTAACTGCTTTTTTCACGAGAGTTGAGGTATAGAAATGATTTGTAAATCATTTGTGAGATGTCCTACCCACATATTTTCAGCAATATAAGTGGATTAGACTACTGGTCCTTCTAGGGAGCGTCCAGCTGCTAAGTGGTTGTTAGCACACACGTCAAGGAAAGATGCAAGGAGCATGATGGTAGATAGCATGGGACAGCCAGCCTCAGAAACCTTTTCCCAACACTGCAGTGGTTGGATGATGGCTTCTCCCCAGAAGCACAAGAGTTTAAACCCCTTCCAAATCTTGTTTACTTTTATGAATGTATTACCAGCCGCCTTTTGACTCCTGCTAAGATTTTGGTTGTGATGATACTAGGAAGGAAGGAATTCGGCTGAGTAACTTCATGTTGTGCAAAAGGTCTATTTCTTTTTCACCAGTTTTACACTTAATTGACTATTCCATTGTGTTCATACTATGGAAGGGAAAGTAACAGCATGAATTTATGAGTAAATTTGCTGGACTTGGGCTAGGATTGGCTTCCCAATGCTTCAAACCTGGGAAATCACAACATAGTAAAGTAAGCAAATTAAGGGTTCTGTTTCATCAAACTCAATAGTAATTTGCAACAAAAGGAAAATCTTGAACAATTACTTAGGAAAGTTAGTCCCTATAACACACTAGAGATTTTCTCCTACCCCTTTCTCTCCCCCGCCACCTATCTTCCTTCCAGCAATGATTCAGTGAAATTTCTTGCTATAAGGCAGAAATCAAGCAAGCACCATAACCCTTTGTTCCAGCTGTAAAACAGACTTAAGAACATCCCTTATTAAAGGGCCTAATTAAGTACGTAATCCCTTTTTCCTCCTTCTAGAAGTTATTGGAAAGCAACCCAAACAATGTCTTTAATAAAAGTTTTGCTGAGAAAGCTCCTTCTTTGGCAGGGGAAGGGTAATTGTGATAGCAGGCTGCTTCTGTTCCCAAACTCCCTGATGTGCTGGGGTCATATCACATGTTTACAGTCTGCTTTAACAAGGAATAACAAGGACTGAAGTGCTTATTTTTGGTGTCACTACATCTGAGCAGATGTTATAGGCTCAATTATCCCGGTACTTCAACTGTAACACTGCATTATTCTCTAAGCTCCATTTCTTTGGCTGAAACTATTTTGTTGGAAGACACTGCTTTCTGTAAGCTGGTGTTTCTGCTCCTCCATGTAATAGAGCCTCGCAGCTGCCTTCAGTAAGCAAATTTATCTTTTTGGATTGCTTCTGCACCGTAGCTACAAATCACTTTGAATGTACAGCTGAACAAAGTGCATTTTATAAAATGGAGCATCTGCCCATTATAAGAATATCCAGTGGTTTAACACAAGATCATTAGTCACCAAGAGTAAATTGATATATTATCAAGTTGTGCATATTCTGGTCAGTGTTCAAATAAAGCATGCTCGGGTAGCGCAGGAATATTCTAGGTTCAGCATCCTCACAGTATAGGTGAGTATCTCCATATATAACAACGTTGTGGAACAGAAAGACACATCCTGCAGCTCCTGAATCACAGCTTTGAAATGCAGCATGACAATTATTTCATTTTGAGGCCAACGGTGATGAGCTCTGTCAGCATGGTGAGTAATTATAAGAAATAGGGATCACTTGACTCATTTTTAATTCCTGCCTCCACCAAGTCTTTAAACATACCGTTTTCATCGTCTAAAGCCTACTCCGCTCATTTACTGCATCACCTTGTGCTGGGGTTATGTGTGAAAAGGGACTCTGCATTTTAATTTTTTTCTCTCTTTGTACCAACATGAACATTTTCAGTGTTTTCCAAAGCGAATACGTCATTTAGAATGTGGAAATGAAGTTGAAAATAACTGAAAATAATGAGTCAAGGCAATAAAGCTGGCAGTGAAATTGACAGCTCAAACAAGGTAAATCAGATACTTGAAAAAAGCTGAATCATTTTCTTTTAAAGTCCAGCTGAACACGCAAATTCTTATCTCTGTTGCCTAACATCTGCCTCATCGTTATGAGCACACATACACGGTGCTTGGTAAAAAGGCAGAATCTTTCATTACACTGTATAGCAAGATGAGGCAGCTTTGCACTGTTTTGATAGTTCAGTAGGATTGTAACAAGAGGGGACTTGTTAAAATTTTATTGTTTCAGCAGCAATGCTCCCCAGAGACAATGCTAATAAATTTCCTACACTGTGACTGTCTAAACAGATTATCCAACAATTACATATTAATTATTAATCACCCAGTGATTCAGAAGCCACCCTGTGGCTCTCTAGTGCAGGAACTCTACTGCTTTTGCAATCTAATAATATGATTTTTCCAGTTGTGGTGTTGCAATGCTCAACCAGACAGAAGGCTAATGGCAGAGGGAGCAATGGGGATGCCCAAGGTTATACCTCACCTTGCTTGGAGGAGGTTATGAAAAAGTAACCTAAATAAATTCAGCAGATAAAATAAAGCAAACAAGTTGGATGATAGACTAACTAGAATTAGTGGAATGGGAGTGTGTTTTAAACCGTCTCTATAGGGATTAATGGAAATACCTGGAAATAAACATGTAGGAGAAAAGATGTTTTTCTCATGCATTCCCTAAGAACACCTTTCCTGACTGGCAAGCCTGAGAGGCCTGATTTACATTATCTCTGCACATTCTTGGCTGTTTACTGTGCAGGAAAACAAGATTGATTTCTCATTCTTAAGCACATTTATAATGCCTGTGCAAATGAATGTAGGGCATATCCTGGCTAGATCAATATTTATGCAGCCTACTTTAGAAAAAGCAAGGGAGTTGCTTCACAGCAGCAGGGGATCTTGTAATTTCTTTTCCTATGGTTTCCTCCTTTCCTTGTTTCCACTGAAATCCGTTTGCATAATACTCCCTGCTCGCTGCCAGTTACAGGGAGGTCTAATGAAGGGAGCCCCCCCTCGACTGTCTGAAGGGATGCTCTGCTGTCAGACTGCCCATGGTCCGAGAGCTGCCTGGTGGAGGGAGGTGTGTGTGTGTGAGCTCAGGAAGCTGTAGGCCAGGCCCGGTGTGGCAGGATGGCCTGAGAAGGGCATGGTTATAATGAGCTGTGCGAAGGCAGAGGTGATTAATGCCACACAGTGTGGTGAGGGGAGCTCTCCTTTTCAGCCTGTGGTGGAGCTGGTGGCTTCCTCCCCCTTCCTCCAGCCCCATCTAGCCACTTGTCTTTGGCCTGTGGCTTTGCACAGTTCATTCCACTTGCAAAAGAGCAACAATTAATTATCCTAATTAAATCCAACTGCAGAATATCGAATACTGTGGTTTACTTCATACTTTAAAGTTTCACCTCTTTCATGCACGCTTCCCCCATACTGCTCGTCACAGCTAATCTCATTCGTTTTGAAACAGAGGGTAAGGGAGAACAGTACATATAATAAATCAAAAAGCAGTAGCAAAAGATTAAAACCAGCCACCCTCCCAGCAGTATGCCAGGATCTGTGTTTAAAAGGGTCCTCCTAAATAGCTGTTCTCTCTCAGCTGAGCTTTCCTTTTCTTGATGCTTAGGAGGAGGTGCCTTCTCCGACCCCGCAGAGAGAAGGTGGCCTCTGTGAATAACCTTTATTCTTTCTTCTGCCCTATTTACCAGAAATACCTTTTTTTTTTACCCTGA